AGGAGCACGTCTCGAGTCTTCAACGTCTTCAATGTCTTTTGCCACTTCTTGTGGGGTTTTTATTTTTGTTTGCATTCGATTGGCTTGGCTCGTGCCTCAAATGGGGGCATGCAAAGCAGCGGCAATGCCTCAATTTGGATTTAGTTCTTTGACATTAAAGCCGCAGAACCGGCCCAAAAAATGTGCAGAGCTGCAATTAATTTTGTGGACATTTCTGTTCTGGCTGATTGTTTCTCCATTGAAAGTTGCAACGAACTCTGCTCTGTTCGGTGGAGACGCTGGCTGGCAAAGGGGCAGCCTGTAAGCCAAGTGCTGCATGCCACATTCATTATGTCACCCCTGCCCCAGCGAGCATTGCCAGAGCGATAAGCCAGAGGACAAGACAAATGAAAGTTCATAAATTGTCAACCAGAGCCGGGCAAAAGGAAATGAAATGAAAATGAAAATGAAAATGAAAATTCTATCTTCCATTTTTTTTTTTTTTTTTTTTTTTTCGTGTGTTTCTTTTTCTCTCTTTCTGCCCTTCGTTGTAACTCGCAAAATAATTTCATTTTCCATTCTTTAGCCGCCAAAGCTGCTCCCTCCCCTCCCCCCACCCCCCGGCACAGTTGTATCAATAATCAAAGGCATTCCCTGCCCTGAGTATTGTTGAATGAAAATTTCAATTTTGCGCCACACACAAGAGATGCTGAATTGATGGACATTGCGGAGCTGAACTGCAAATTCTGCAAATAATATTTATTTTTTTGTTGCCATTTCTGATTTGAAATTTCAAGATTTTATTCCACATTTTTCGGCCCCCGCGAAGAAGGAATGTTTGGCGCAGATTCCTGGCTGCCGAATGGGGTGTGTCCTTCGGTGCTTACCGTTAACCGTTGCCTCTCTCTCTCTCTCTGTCTCTCTCTCTCTTTTGCAGAGCCTTGCCCGTCTCTCAGTTAATTGGCGACCGAAACAAAAGGCAACTTTCCGCCCACAAGTCATCAGAAGAAGCCGAGGGAAGCTCTCCATCCCCTGGCAGCCCACTGTCTGAATGCTAATGAGGCGCCCTGGCCCTGGCCCTGGCACTGGCCCTGGCGAGAACTTAAAGTTTTAAGTGCAAATCGCCCGAATGCCATAAGCGAAATTATTATATAATCAAACAATGAGCGGAGGCAGCGGGTCACCCCAACACACACACCTTCCATCCTTGTGCCGAAGCTCAGCGTGTGGCATGCAAAATGCACTTTCGGCCAGGGCTCAGGAGCAAAGCGAGGCTGAAGCGTGCTTGGTTCCTCCTGAATTTAATGAGTTCTTTGTTTATGTATTCTCATTTATCTGAAATTGCCACGCACAGACATCGCCTGTGGCTGGGGAGTGGCGAGTGCTGGAGTAGCGAGTGGCGAGTGGCGAGTGGGGAAGTGGAGGAGAAACTCTGCGGCAAAATGTAATAATAAAATTGCAGCTTATTACCGCGAAAAGGTGTGCCGAGTCGAGCGGAAAACGGAAGTGAGCAATATCATCTCTCTCTCTCTCTCTCTCTCCTTTGCTCGCTCCTTTAATATGTGTGGAAGAGATGCCCAAAGGTGTTTGTTGACTTAGGACAGCAGCCTATTTCATTATGCCAAGGGTAACTGCTGACAACAAATGCGAAAAGGAGCTGAATGAAGGGGACTGGAGCGGGCAGTGGCCAAGCCAATTAAAGCGAAAATGTAGAAAATATTTGAGCCATAATCAAACCCCTGAATATTCCCATGCCCACCTCAACTTCTTTGATTTGCTTGAAAACTTTGATAAACTTGCATTAGGTTGAAGAGTTTTTCATGTGTGTGATGTGATCCGGTCAGAGGCAGTGGCCGAGCCCATTGGCATGCAGATTCCAATCGCAAGGAATGCGAAAAGTTCGTTCACATATCACATGTGGATGGGTGGCAGATTATCCAGCAAAAAGCCGCACAAAAAACTTGCCAGCACAACAGCCACAACCGACTGGTGCGGTGGCTGCGTGTAGTGGGACGGGGGCACTCCGCAGTGTTGTCTAATCTGGACAGTCAAAGGAGCGGAAGCGCAAGGCTGCAAAACAAGCAGCAGCACAAAAACAAATTCAAATATGGCATGCTCCAACTTGATATGCTCTCTCTTTTGCGTCGCAGGCTGGCATTGAAACTGTTTCGGTAGCTCTCTCTCTGTCTCTCTCGCGGATCCGCTTTGCGCTCACGTCAAAATTCGCTTTGGTTCGTTGTTGCTTCGCGCTCAGCTGGCAGCGAAATTCGCCGTCGCTCGTTTTGGCCTTGCCTTCGGCTGTGAACATGCGAATTCGCCCTCGCTCGTTTTTGCTTTGATCGCAAACTTAGCATACTCTCTAAGGCACATGCCCATAGAGAGAAAAGAGTCTGGTTGAAGTTAACGATTGATAATCCAGCACTAAGTCGTAGTACCCGCTGCAAGGGTAACTCCACGCAAAAAAATGCTCAGCAAGCAGAAAGACTGAAAACTAGACAAGGCAAAAAAGTGCACCACATAGTAGATGTCCATACACATATTTACATACATAAGCGCACACGAGTATGTCTGGCTGGTCTGTCTGTATGTATTTGTGGGCGGCTGTGTGTCCCAAACTTCGATTGTTGTTCGAGCTGTGCGCGTATTAGAACTTTTTGTTTCGGTTTTCAGGTTTCTCCTTTGCTTCCTATTTGTGGCTATTCACTATGCCAGCGACAGGGAGGACAGTGTAATGAAGACAAATAAAGGCAATTCCTGTTGCGTCATGACTCCATGACTCCACCTCCCGCTATCACTGCATATTTGTTTAGGTCTCCTTGTGCATACATTTAGAATACTCTGGAAAGAGGAGTGTGTACGACAGAGGGATGGAAAATTCTTTCAAAAAATAGTTCCAATTCCTAGCCAAGTTTATTCTTTTACCGTTTAGGATTTGTAAGGGCATCCCTGAGTCCGTGTAGTCCAGTTTTTATTTCGAGTCTTTTTTTCTGTTATCTTGGCCGGCCGTTTGCTGACCGTTTGCTTTGTGACGATTATGTTTGTCTTGGTCTAACCCTTGCAGTGCTCCATTTAGATGGCTCGCCTGCACCACATCCTCGTGCAAATAAGGCACATTCCATGCTCTTAGCTACTTTGCATCAAAGTTATTGCCTTAGAATTGACCAACTAAATAAAGAAAATAATACTGTGGATTCCTGGGAGCTGCTTACAATTTACCTACTAATAGATTTTCATTCTTAATATGCTAGACAGCAGCAGAAGTCCCTTAAGTGGGAGGCAAGAGAGAAGATTGTTTCTTTTCCCATCCTCTATCTCAACCACATCTCCTTTTCGCGTGTCAGCTTGCATGTAAACAACAACAAACGAAGAATGCAGAATGTTTGCCATCTCGCTCTAGCGCGTGTTGCTCAGAGTCACCCTAACAGTAAATTCGCCTTGCAGACGCGGTTCGCTTAGAAATATATGTGGATGTCTACATATTGTTTGACGAAGTCAAAAACGTTTCTTGCTTTGCTGTCGCTGCGGCAGCCGAGCGACGCTGCGACGGTTCCGCACGAAACTTTTACGCTGTGCCTGTGCCGACTGCGCTGCCCGAGATCCCTTGCACAGAAAGCACACGGCCGGATCAGGAGCTTTGGCACTAAATCTTTACAGTTATTTCAATAGGGAACTAATCACAGTAATTGCAGCATAACAGCCATATGACCATTACCAAGCGGACCAGGAGAGAGCAAATCGATTCCCACCACAAGTCTAGTGTCAATTTAGGCAAATTTTATGTTTATTTGGCCATTGATTAATGGCCCCGGGCCTGGACCCCATAGCCAAAGTTGCAAAGGGTACGCGGCCGAAGGTCTTCCATCATAAGTAGTTTCCTCTATGCCCAATGTTGTTTTTCTCGTACTTTTTTTTGCTGTTCGCTTTCGGTTTATTTATGCATAAAATTTATAGGCAGAAACAAACATATTTTGTGTCATTAGCCGCAAATTTTTGACCCATTTGTCATTAGAGCAGAAGGCGGACAAGCAGGGCCAGGCAGCCAGGCAGCCAGGCAGAGGCTGGCAGAGGACCCAAGGTTTTGCATAAAACAAACAGACACACATGCATGGGAGTGTGTGTGTGTGTGTGTGTTGGCCATTGTGCCATGCCAAAATGTGTGACCGACAAGATTTATCAAGTAATAACAGACATTTCGGACAACCCATAGACCCATTAGTCACACGCTGTTTGACATTGTCTGAAAATATCATTTTAATCACAGACCACACACAAGGAGCACATGGAGCGAGCCCCAGCAGGAGAGCAGCAGGAGCAAAGGATGATGATGATGATGATGATGGTGTAAGTGGAGTCGGAGTCGGAGGCGGCTCCTCCATCACCATGCTCTGCTGGCTGCCAGCCCAGCCTTCCTTACAGTGCGTTTCGCAGGCTTAAGACAGTCGAGGGCAGCTGCAAATGCAGCTGTTATATGAAGACATTTAAAAGTTCGAATAATCTGATAACACTGCATGCTTTGTTCCATTGTTCCATCAGTGGGCAGTAGAGCAGTGAAACGCACCGTGTGCGAGGCCAAGAATATCTTCATCGTCGGCCTCTGCCTTCTACACACTGTCATCCTATTAAAGTTTAAGCACATCCATTCAGTAGCCCAATCAGCTTTCCTCTGTGTGTGTGTGTGTGTGTGTGTGTGTGAGGCCGTTACTCTAATATTCACGAGCTTATTATGCTATCGATGAGAGAATTATGATGCCCATTATGCATACGCACACGCCCTGCCCTCAAACTCGCACTTGGACCTCGGACCTAAGGTTTGCAACTAAACTTAATCCGATTTTCCAGCAAATCGTGCCCCCCAGACAGGAGTAAATATTATAGTTATTATTATTATTAATAGCAGGTTAATTAATTTATTTTGAAAGCTGATAAACGAAAAGTTTGTTTTGATAATGGAAAATTCTTATAATTAATTCGAACTTCGCTCATAAAATCGGGTTCTCTCTCCCTACCCTTAATGGAATCAGAAACTTAGAACTGTTCCAACAAAAACAAACACAAAAATGCACATCACTCGCGCGGAATGGATCGCCTACTTGGGGATGTACAACTGATTGGTAAAATCGATAAACTTCTGATCAAAATTGCCTGGAGGGTCCACCGACTGAAGGTGGTCTTCAAATAGAATTGAGCCACAAACAATTTTAAATTTTAGTTCCATTTCCGGATTGTCCTCGTTGGCCAGCCTGCTGCTGATCTGCGCCAGAATCTCGTGCATTTGTTTGAGGCCATCCTGTATGTTGAATTTGCACTTCTGCAGGAAAATGGACAGAGCGTCATGAAACGAGCGGAGGGATGGGGACGAGGCTCTACTTACCCCCAGCTTTTCGGCACAAGACACAACTTTGATTGGGCCGCAGACAAGGCCGCTCTTATTTGGTTTTGCAATGGCTATCTGACCGATGCCCCCCAAATAGGACTGCATCAACCACAATGGCCTAGGCTCGGTCTGATTTGCGTACTCAATCCGGACCGTTGCACGGCGGCATCTCTTTAGCACCACTGGATCGTTGCTGTGGAATAGCGCGGTAAAGTGTGGGAGTGTGTGGAGTGTGGCACAAATAATGACTTACAGATCGCCAAGTGGCTCCTTGTTCCACACACCACTAACTTCAGCGGAGTAAAGCAGTCGAAAGTCTCCCAATTGGGCCGAGAACACTCCATACACCTGCTTGCGCTCATCCACTGGAGCATCGGGGTTTGGCGGCTCACCAGGAGAACCTACTTGTGTGAACGATCAAAATTCAGATGGATGATGCTGGATGCTGGATGCTGGACTTGATGCAGCTACTCACTTGTGAACACGTACTGGCGTGCCTTGTAGGGATGGGTTCTAGTCTTCTTTGGCCTGAAGTTTCGCTTATCGACGTCTTCACTTAGGCAGCGCACATAGATGCAGCCCTTGAAGCGGCTGGCTGCGAAGTTGAATTCGCAAAAAGTGCGATCGCCCATGAACTTGATCATTGTGCCGCGATTGAGGAAGAAGTGCGTCTGGTCGAGCAGCTGGCGCGGCTCCCGCAAATGCATCACATGGTGCTGCAACACACCGAAGGCGCGCAGAAAGTTCCCCCTTCGTGGTATGTACTCAGCATAGCCCTTGTTCAGATCCAGCGGATATTCACGTGCAGTCGGCTGGCGATAGTACAACATTTGGGGGTTTCCCTGCAAGCTCTTCAAGTCGGGATCGTACTCCAACATATTCTCCAGTTTCAGGTCCAATAGATCCATTTTGATGATTTTGCAGCAGCCCTACTCAAATTTAGAAAAACAATTCTCTCCCGCGTCCAAAATGTAACGAAAATGAAGCGACGTCTGTGGTCTGTCCCTGAGCTGAAATGTGTATGGCAGTGGGAAGAAGGAGACCAAAAAGGGAGACAGCGACAGCAACTACGCAGCCATGAAGTAACTATAAGGAGGCCTCGTCGGTGGCAGAGTTACTCTGGTTCTGGTTCTGCTTATTGTCAGTGCTCGTTTGCTTGTCGACGCGAAACATTAAATTATGAAACAATTATTATGTTTTCTCACATTGCCTTCAAAGGGTTAATCAGCACACTCGATTGTTGTTGCCCTCACACTTGCAGCGAGAGGCGTTTCACTCGCACTTTTCACTCCGACGTTCTGCTTATTTTTGCCGACGAGACCTCCTTATACAGTTTCTTCATGTGCGCAGCAGAATAATTTGTTGTTGCTTTTTCGCCAGACAGCGATCGTCGTGGAGTTTTACCGTTACTGTTGCTGGAGTTGTTGCTGCCGCAGCTGCTGGGCGCGATGCAAAGAAGATTGAAAGGAGTATAGAAAAAAATGCTGCAAAAGGCGACAGACCTTGACCGGGTCTTTTCCTATTCTTCTAGTTCACTCCCGCCGCAGAGTACAGAGAAATACAGAGGAAGAAGAACATAAGACAACTGCACATACATACGTACATATGTACGTGTATGATGTACATATGTATTTTCCCTCACTCGCTCGCGCAAGCACAAGCTTCTATCGATCGGGAGTGCGTAGCGTTGCCAGATCGTTTGACAGAGTGGCCAGAAAAGTCTAATTACTGGGAATAAGTCACGAAAGATGCCAAAAGTCATGAACTTCATTTGGATATGTGATCCGATCCTCCGGCGGACGGACGTACAGTCACAGGCTCTGTTTCCCGCCACAGTCTGCTTTGACAAATTAAATTTGTGAACTATTCAAAATGATGTTACAACTTTGAATTCACTTAAGCAATTTTTCACACTCATTTGCATAGTTAGCCGAGTGACTTTTGCGGGATCTGTGCCGCCCGAACGGCTGGCTGGCTGCCCTGATTTATGTACGGAATGTCCTGGCTCTTGGCGTTTGGTTCGTTGGCTCGTTGAAAACTTTCCGCTGGTGGGTGGGCTGAGTAGCAGCAGCAGCAGCAGCAGCACAATGAAATTAAAAATTACCAACCAAAGGAAATCTTGAGCAACTTTTTTGATTTGTCCGCCACACACCGCCGCCGGACGGGCTGTATTTGCCTGCCTCAAGTTTTAATTACACGAAACGTGATCAAAATTACAAAATGCGAGCACTTTTGATTTGTCTGCACAGCCCAGACCAGCCCAACCCAGACCAGCTCTGCTCGTTCACAAATCAAATCAAAAGGATTCAGCAGCCCACCCAGCAGCAGCAAAAGCAGCAGAAGCACCGACATTGGGTTGCCCTTCAATTGTTACCAATTGGTAGGGTTTTGCACACGTGATCATAATCGAATCTAATCAATAATATCAATCATCTGCTGTAATTGTTGAATTAAATCAAGTTTAGAAATGTATTGGCAGTGGGGAAATGTCTAAACAATTTGCATTACTCCTTGAAGCTGCACGAATCGGGTTGTCCTTGCTGCATATTTGCTACTTTATGTATTCCATTTCGCAAATAAATCGCATTTGAGTCCATGATCTAAATTATGCTGCTGACGGGTGGGGTGGGGGCTTAAAGGGAGAACCATATTTGGCGGAAGCAAGAGCCAGCCCGGCTTGAGCAGCGGAGTGCAGTGTCAAAAGGCAGAGCAGGAGGCAAGCTTATGTCAAAATACACACACACACACACACACACACACACACACACACACACACACACACAGAACTTGATTGTCATTTGAATAGATTACAAGAGATTGCCATGTGTCCTCTTGTGTGTGTGTGTGTGTGTGTGTGTGTGTGTGTATCGATATGCCCAATGGGCACAGCAGCAGGGACACATCCAGCCCAGCCCAGCCTCTGTGCTGTTGTAGTGGCCAAGTCAAAAGGATGTACGCATAACCCTGCCTATTACCCCAGCGGGTGTACTTCATTGTCACATGTCAAGTCTTAACCCTGCCAAAGGTCAGGCTCTTCGATCACAAATGCCTCTGGCTGAGCATCACAATTTCGTGAGAATTTGTGGCGCACTTTGCCCGCTTTGTGCAGTTTTATTTCCATCAACTTTTTGCCAGCAATCCATCCCAAGGCAATGCGGATGGCCCATGTAATGGTTAACACTCTGAGAGTGTAGATTATGCTTGTCACAAAGAGGGGGCATAGGATGGGGTGGAGTGTGTGGGCTTTGAACTCTGCTCATATTGTGCAGACAAATTAATTGCGAACTCGTGTAATTGTTTGACAATCTTGTCCAAACTGATGTGAGTGTGTATACACACCACTATCCATGTGTGTGTGTGTGTGTGTGTGTGTGTGTCTGACAGACGCCATAATCGCTGTGTTGACTCAAGTGTAACCCAATTAGTCGACAAGTTCTCGAATATGGCAACACCATGCCCCATGCCCCATGCCCCATGCCAGGATAGTTTTATACAATATACGAGATGAGCGATTATGTATACGCAGCAGAACTTACTTTTGTGTGGGGGACGTTGGACAGACACAATCATAGGTCAAAACGATTAATTATCAAATCGGCTTTCGTCCTTGGACGCAGGATAACGATAATTATGCTGGCTGTCAGCTGCTGTTTTGCTCCACAGTCAAACAAAGATATTTCTTGCATGTGTGTGTGTGTGCTCCACATTTATCCAAATTAGTTGTCAGTTCATTGTGAGATGAATATCTCAAATACAGCGCTGATTGTCAAGGAGCTTCAACAGAAATCAAGGCAACTTAATGCCACGCACTCACACATTTATTCACTTCAAAACTTCATATCAAAAGTGCCATTAAGTTCGTGGTTCGATGGTTGATGGTTGATTAGGTTCCGAAACCTTCCCGACGCGCTCAGCCTTCAAAGGCAACTGATCCGATTATCTCCAGAGTAAAAACTCCAATGAATTATTTTTTGCTTCCATCTGCAATGCTGGACACATCCAAAAGATCAAATTACTGCTCGATAGCATCCAGCCATGTATTTTCTTGCAGATGCATCACTAAGGCAATGTTGTGTGCAGATTCACATTTGTTTCAATTGTATTTATTAAGCGAACTTTAAGTGTATTTAAATCAATAACAAAAGCCTTAAATTTCATCTGGCAGTTGGCAGTTTTTGGGTTTGTTTCCACGGCGCAGTTAGTTTCTGGCGTTTATTGTTTGTTTTTTGTTTGCTCAAAATTGAAATGTATATAGAAAATAGGCATTTAAAAGAGTTGATAACAAATACACACACACACACAGATGCAAGAGGAATGCTTAGTATTTACATATGTATGTACATGAAAACGATGTACAATGTACATACATGTGTAAATATTTATGTACACGCATAAAGCTTTGTTTTATTTTGTTTCCAATCAAACAAAAATCTGAACAAATTTAAAATTCACCTTTCTGTAAGGCAAATTGTGGCAAAAGTTGTGCCAAAAAATGTTCGTTTTAGTTGAATGCGAAGAGGTGGACTAAGCAGTAGACTCCCCGGGCCGGCAGGTGTTGCCAGCTCTTGGCTGGCCTGCAAGTTCAAATACTAATTGGAAATGAACAAGTTCAGTTGCTTCCTGCCGTGCAAAAGTTGTTGGGTAAACTTGATTAATTAGGGAAAAGCCAAAGCCGAAGCCGAAGCCGGAAATGAAGGCAAAAACTAAGTTTCAAGACAGAATTTCCAAATTTAATAGAGAGCAAAACGGATGCGGAATACAGCTAAGAGAGTTGCACAAGTACATACAAATATATTGACAGATAAATGGGCACAGATACAGTTATCCTATGATATGCAGTGACAGCTCTCCCTCCAGCACTGTCCTATCCAGTGCTCCTGCCGCTTGCAGTACTCGTGGCACTTGGGAAAGTGCGGATGATGGGGGGAAAGTTGCTGGCACAGCGCCCGATCCTTGGCTATGACGCGGGCCTTGATGGACACGATGCCCAGCGGCACGGTGACCGCTTCCTCCGACTCCTCAGTGTCCATATTCAGTTCGTTCTCATTGGAGTCGGCGCCAGGGGCAACGTCAGCGTGATCTGCAGCAGCAGCATCAGCGGCAGCGACATCCGCCGAGGCATCGCGGATGCCACGAATGGCGCTCGCCTGGCCAGGAACGAGGTATAGAGCCAGCGAGACACAGACCACCAATAGAAGCTTCATTGTGCACAACTTAAAGGCAACTGACCGACTGCCAGCAGTCAGTCTACAGCTCAAATTGTAATTTCTTATTCGTATGCTAGTTCCCTGCCTTATCAGCCGTCCCAAGGTCACTCAGCATCGCGCTCTAATCGCTGAAACTGAAGGCATTTGTGGGTTTAGCGTTCCCGTTTCGGTTTCGTTTCAGTGTTCGGTCCACCCAACACTCTTATGGAGGGTGTTCTGTTATTGCAGTGCGGAGAGTGACGTCATTTTGTTTTTTTTGTTTGTTTATATGATTAAAGCTTTTACCTGCGTTGCAGTCTGCACAGAAAACGAAGACAGGAAAACAGAAAAAGTTTCTTGCTTCTCTGCCGCTGCTGCGCACGAAGTTCTCTGCCGCTGCTGCGGTTCTCCGAAGTCCCACGAAGCTTTTGCGCTGCGCGTGTGCCGACTGCGCTGCCCAAGATCTGTTCCTAAGCTTACGATGCTGCCGGCCACTGCTCTAATTGTACACCAGTGTATGTATGTACATATGTATGTAGATCTGCGGCCATCAAAGCTTATCTTCGTTTCTGCTTCAGGCAGAAGCATGTACGTAGACCACAGATCGAATCACGCTGTAAAATAACTTGAAAATTTCAGTTCATAAAATATGCATACACACATACATTTATTTATTTATCTTCGATACCCACATTGGCGTCAGCTTCATTGGCAATTCTGCCCAAATGGGTAAACAAACTCGCACTTTGTGTTGTTTTAAGGGCGCTGTCTGGGGCTCTGTGGGTATGTGCAGATTCTCGGGAATCACCGCTAAATCATCTGCCAGGCAATAATTACTCAATTTGCAACACACACGCACAAATAAACCAAACATGTAGAAAAACAAAACAAAAGGGGAACATTAGCCGCCTGCATACCCTAGCTGCTGTCTGCGGCTTTAAAGTTGAGAATTGGCAACACAAAATACGCTTTAAGAGACAAAATGAAAGCGAAACCCTTCTAAATTCTACACTTTATGGGATTAAATATTTGGAATATATTTAAATACATTTTAAATATGCTCATGGTTTGGTACTATTCTGGGTACTTAAAGATTCAACCATTTAAATGTCCAATACCCCTCCCGTGACATTCGTACCCACGTATACATTATACCCTGATGCTGCTGCTGCTGCTGCTCCGCAAAAAGATGTATAAATGTTGAGCTAACAATTTATGCGGAAATTTGATTTTTATGTTCTTCTTCATGCTTCCCATCCGCAACTGTATGGCTGTGTGTATGTGTATGTATGTGTGTGTGTGTGTTTTGCTGTCTTGGGAAGTTAGTAAAATTGATGGGCAACGGACAGGCGGACAGGCAGTTAAAGGAACATAAAATGTTACATTTCCCTTGCAATTTTTGCCACACAAACACACCAGCACATTCAAGTCTCATTTGCTTTAAAATGCAAAAACCATAACAATAATCATGAGAATATTACACAACAATAATAATAATAACAATAACAGCACTCGAATGTTATACATACAGTACATTACTGGTGAAAAAGGGAAGCATCTGGAAGTGAAATGAAGGCTGCTCTCGAAGCTTTCGATACACTTACAGTTCCTTGAATAATCGTTGGAAATTACTAATCACTTGCTCAGTTTGAGCAGCTATAAGAAACCTTAAATATATATTTGTAATACAATTATTTTAAATGTTATAAATTAAGTACCTAATTAAAGGCCTCGCCTGTTTTGGCACCTTCGATGTTGCATTCCAACTTTTTAGCTACTCTTCTGAGGAGATTCTAGAATGTCCATTGTCCAAAAAAAAAAAGAAATACGCTTGAGCAGGAATGTATCGTGTCATGTTTTTGGCCGATTACCCAAAAGTTTGGCCAAACAATTTCAAATAAAATTCGAACTTGAGCGCGAACCAAACAGGGGTAATGGCTCCTAGACCCCCCAGCAACTATTTCAATGACTGTCAAACACTTTGGCAGGAACGAGTCCCAAAAATTATTGACAATAGCTGACATAAAGGGAGGTATGGATGGATGGATGGATGGATGGATGAAAAATACAAAATATTAGCCAAGTTTGATTAATTCGATTGTTTTGGGGGGAGTGCGTTTGTGAGTGTGTTAATGCTATTTTTGGGTTTGGTTCAAGTTTAATGACAAACAGAAGTTTTCCCTTTCACCCACACCCCCTGGTGAGTCAAGTTGTGACAGGGAAAATGGGTCAATACGGAATAGGTTTCTCGTGCATGTTTGTTCTGGCATTTGCTTTGTGCCGCTCACAGTCCCAGGACCTCAACAACAATTTTGTAAACTGATTTTAGCTCTATATAATGTGACGTATGTAGCTCAGTTTTGATAAGGGTTCTCTCTCTGGCACAAGCCCGGGGCCTGTCAGATGATAAGCAGCAGACAAGACGAGACCGACCAAAAAAGGATATGGACACAGATACCAAAAATTGTAATCATTGCAACACTTTTCCACGCCGGCGGGCATCTCCAGAAGGAAGGTAATGGGGAGGGGGGGCGTGCCCACGCACGAGTGCATGTCCAATTAAAAATTCAAAAGCTCACAAAACGAATGAATTACGTGCCAACCCAAAAAGAACCAAAAAGCCTTTTAGCCTTACAAAACAAAAACAATGTTTTATTAATAGACTCACGAGTATGTGGATACAATTACAAGTCGAATGTACATAAATATTTGTATGTATGTGTACATATGCACACACATATCTATTTACCTATCTTCCGCCTCAAACCTTAAGCTGAATTAAATACTGCTTAAATTATATTCTCACATACATATGTACATATTTCAGCTCTCTCTTTTTCGCTACTTACGTTGCCCACTGTAAGATTTCTTTCTCTGCATCGTGGTTCTAGCATATGCTTGAGCGCGCCGGCGGCCGTTCTTTCGTCTATTTATCCCGCCTTCTTCGCTGCTGCACTTTTATGGCGCCCTCGCTAGGGTTCGCTCTCTTTCACTCTATCGCGCTCCCTCGCTCGCATTGAAGATGTTCTGCTACCTGCAGTGGCCGTAAGTTGCCGTTACTTTTTGCGCAGCTGCTTTTGAGCTGATCGTCACAGCATTCGCTTTCGTCGACAACCTAACTGTAACCTAACTGTAACCCCATTGCCTTCTTATTATTCTCAATAGCTTAACATTGTTTAAGTAGAAATTATGTCGAGCGGCTTAGTTACGGTTGTTTTTTGTTCGTACATATTTACAACTTAATTATCCACACACACACAAATATTTGGACTTTGTTCAACAAATTCGCACTCGAAGCGATCCCAGGTCCATGGCGGAGCTTCCCCTTGGTGTTTGTAATCGCATATTAGCCAGCTGCATGAATTGAGGGGCAACGGCAGAGACAACGCCAGTGTCGATGGAGGCTTAACAAGCGCCTTGGGACTAGACGTCTGAATAAAGGTAGGAGTATCGCATCTACATATCCTATGGTACCTACCTACGTAGTATATATCTTAATAATAATTTGTTTGCTGGCAAAATTCTCCCTGGGGCGCATTCAACTAAACGCAGACAAGTGGAGCGGGCAGGCGGACAGGCAGGAAGGACGACTACTGGCCACCTTGACTGCTCGTGGCAATTATAAATTGTTGAAAATAATTTCATTAAATATGTAAAAAGGTGACGCCAGATAGAAGACCAGGAGCAGAAGCAGAAGCAGAAGCAGAAGGATCCCTTTCAACGGTGGCTCCTGTTCTACGTGGCTGCCATTAAACTTTCACTCCACATCCGCTATCCACTCGCCACTCTCTCCAGCTATCGCTCTGACCTGCTGCTGCCCTGCTCCGTTCGAACTTTGACTTCCGCTGGCCGGGGGGGGGGGGGGGCCTTTCAGTGCATCTTGGGAATACACTCCAGAGGAGGGAAAAGCGGGGTGGGCCCATGCCCGTGTAACTAGATAACTTAGGGGAAAAAACCNGAACAAACCCAACGGCAGGGGGAAGTGGGCTTTTTCGCACTTTCCATTTGCTTTGCAAATTTTATGATTTCGTAAACTGAATTTTCGCTTTTCGCTTGGCAATTGTTCATTTTAGCCGACAGGACAGAGGGCTGCACTCTGCTGCTTTGGTTCTTTGTGTGGAAGATGTACAGGAAATTAAGTGTGCAAATTTTGCATAAATCGTGTTGACATCGTCCCGGACATTAACCAGAGCAACATGGCCAGCGACTAGGTACAGTGCAAGCATTTCGATAAGGAACATTTCCGCCCGCTGTTGCCAGTAGTTTGGAATGCTGAGACTACAAAATGTGCTGCCGAAATGCTGCTGCTTGATTAGCACGAAGAAATTCCCCCAAAAATATGCCAAAAGAAACAAACAAAAAATACCCAAAAATGTATGCACAAGAAATGCTCCACAATAAGCATAAAATTTGAGATGGAAATTTGAATAAGCATTTTCAGCACTCAGCAGCAGCAGCAGCAGCAGAAGGCAGCAGGCAGCCACCTTTTCCACCTTTTCCACCTTCCCTTCAGAGTCTGACATATGCATGTCTGGCATGGAAATTGTAAAATATTCCACACAAATGTATGCCAATATTTCTTAGACAATTGTTGGCTAATCTTTTGAGTGTGCATTTCAATCGAAATGTTTTTTGGGCAATTGAAGGATTTCCAATCGAGCGGAGAAGGAGCCTGCGTCTTCGTGTGGGAGCGGTGCCAAGGCGATTTCGCGCCACACTTAGCCGCCTCGTTGGATATGGGGGAGTTGCTCATTTATTTTGTGGCGTTGTCGCGTTACGCTTCAAACTCATTACTCATGCCGCATGTGGGCCCTCCATACGTGACTCGGTGGGGCACGAGTGGGCTGCTCAAATTTGATTCACTTGCGCTCCATTGAGTTGGAGACACCCAAAGTGCTCGACTCATTTTAATCAAATAAAAGTAATGAGTCCTGCCAAATAAGATTGCCAGAAAATTAACTAAAAATCACATTAGCACCAAGGCACCAGAGGCACAGATTGCGCGACGGCTCTGGGGGCGGTTCTGGCAGCACAAAAATAAATATATGCGAAGCATCTTAAACGAATC